CCCTACCTTTTACCATGTCGGCAGACACATCCTCCTCTGCCACTTCTACCAATTCTGGAACTACTCTCCCATCTGGAAATACCTCCATGTCTCTTCCCTCCACACCTCAAATCTCTGTCAAACTCACTCCCACCAACTACCTCTTATGGAAACTTCAACTTCTACCGCTCCTCCATAGCTTCGATAGCGCTCAATTTATTGATGGCTCCTCTCCTGCCCCATCTCAACGCCTCGACACCGGACTTCCCAACCCCGACTATGCTGCGTGGTACAAACGCCATCAACTTGTTCTCTGCTGGATCGTTGGGTCCCTTACTGATGCTGTTCTCTCCAAGCTAGTCGGCTGCACTTCAACTGCTGATGCCTGGGCACGACTTGCCACTGCATATGGCGCTGCCAATCGACACACTCTCCGGAACCTCAAAGATCGATTCGACACCCTGACTTGTGGCTCGGACTCCATCGACACATATCTCACCCGTGCCAAAGACATCGTCGACCGGCTGGCCGCTCTCAATTCCCCTGTGTCGGATGATGATCTTGTTGCTCGCTGCCTCAAAGGTCTTGGGGAGTCGTTTCTTCCGTTTGTGCGCGTGCTTGAAGCCCGACCAGAACCTGTCTCCTTCGATGAATTTCATGGCCTCCTCCTTAATGAAGAAGCGCGCCTCCGTCAGCATCATCTTCTTGCTGGCGACCTCTCCCCCTCTACCAACTATAGTCGTTCCGGTCATCGCGGTGGCGGTGGCTGCGGGCGATCCTCTCCTCGCGGCGGTGGCCGTGGACGAGGGCAAAGGGATGGCCGCCCAACTCCTTATCCACAAGCAGGGCATCAATTTCCTCAATCAGCAGCCCGCCACTCTTCCTCCTCCGGCTTCCAGCAAGGACTACTTGGGCCTAGGCCCACATCTAACCCATCACTCTCTTTTGCAGGTTCTAGCTCAATGCAGTGTTAGAATTGCCATGGTTTTGGTCACCTCGCCCGCCACTGCCCAACCCCTCATCCTCCCCCTCGTTCTCATCCCTCGGCCCACCTTGCCACCACACCCACATCACAAGAATGGCTCCTGGATTCTGGATCAAATTACCATCTCACTTCTGACCTTAATAATCTAGCTCTTCACTCGGAATACAATGGCCCAGAAGAAGTCTCTTTTGCCAATGGTAACACTCTTCCGATCACTCACTCTGGTTCCTCTCGTGCATCCCTTCATTCTCGCCCTTTGCAACTCTCCAAAATTCTTCATGTTCCTTCTGCTACACATAATCTTCTCTCCATTAATACACTCACTCGTTCTAATCCATTGTCCATTCTTTTCTTTGATGACACTTTTATTATCAAGGACACTCGCTCCCAGACCATCCTCCATCAAGGCCGGAGTAAAGATGGACTCTACTCCATTCCCCTTTCCATCATCGCTTCGAAATCACCACGTGCTTTCTCCACCACGCTCTCGCACTGGCATCAACGATTAGGCCATCCACATTCTCGCATCCTCCACCAAGTTCTCAATTTCAACTCTTTGTCTGCTTCTAATAAAAATGACACTAGCCTCTGTCATGGTTGTAGCGTAGCCAAAATTCACAAACTCCCTTTTCCACGTTCTACATTTCATGCTCAAGGTCCATTAGACTTAATTTGTAGCGATGTTTGGGGTCCTTCTCCCGAATTGTCCACTGATGGTCATCTTTACTACATTCTCTTTTATGATCACTACATTAAATTTACTTGGCTCTTTCCCACCCGCTATCGATCCAATCTTCTCCCCATATTTATCCAATTCCGCACCCATGTGGAAAATTTTTTCAATCGTCCCATTAAAATGTTTCAAGCCGATTGGGGTGGCGAATATCAAAAACTCGGCGCCTATCTCCAATCGAATGGCATTCTCCACCGCTCATCCTGCCCCTACACCCCCGAACAAAATGGTTGCGCCGAACGCAAACATCGCCACATTGTCGAGACTGGATTAGCTCTTTTACACCATTATTCTGTTCCAACCAAATTTTGGTCTTATGCCTTTGACACGGCTGTCTACCTCATCAATCGCCTCCCCACCCCACTCCTCGCGAATCGTACCCCCCTTGAGGCTCTTCATTCCACTCCCCCTGACTACTCCATTCTTCGTATATTTGGTTGCCTGTGCTACCCTTGGCTCCGTCCCCTCACTCGCAACAAACTACAACCTCGCTCTTCCCCTTGTGTTTTCCTTGGTTATAGCTCTACTCATAAGGGTTATCGGTGTTACAATCTACACACTCGCAAAATACATATATCCCGTCATGTCCTTTTTGATGAGTCTTGCTTCCCGTTCCAGGATCCAAAGTTCACCAACAGCATCATCCCTCCCTAAATTACTCACACGCCTACCCCAAATACCTATGTTACACTACCCACTCCACCCATTCTCTCCTCTGCCTATCCTCCCACAACTATGCCTGCCCAACCACCTACGCATCCAACCCAAATCCTATCCTCCCCACCATGGCCCAATTCCCTGCCCACAGTCCCTTCCTCCTCCTCTAAACCCATTACCCCATCCATTCGGGCCCCCACAAAACCCATTACTCCAAAACCCATTACTCCAACCTTACCTGTCACCCACCCCACCAAACCCCGAACCACACACCCCCGGCCCAGAACAAACCTTCCTCACCTTGTCCATCCCCTAGCGAATCCCATCGCCGCCAAACCTCCACTTCGTCCCCCTCGCCAAACAACTCATCCTCCTCCTTCTCACCACATGCTCACAAGAAACCAAACCGGCACCCGCAGACCCAAACAGCTCCTCGCCACCACCACACCCACATTGCCTCCCCTCCCGACAGCGACCAAACAGGCGCTCCAACACCCGCTCTGGCGCGCCGCCATGAAGGAAGAACACACTGCATTGCTCAAGAACCAAACTTGGGATCTCGTACCTCCATCACCTACCCAACATGTCCTCACCTGCAAGTGGCTATATCGAATCAAAACGAAGGCAGACAACACCATCGACCGCTACCGGGCTCGCCTGGTCGCCCGCGGTTTTCAACAACGGCAGGGTCTTGACTACGGCGACACATTTAGTCCAGTGCTGAAACCCACCACTCTCCGACTCATCCTCTCCCTTGCCGTTACTCATCACTGGCCAATCCGACAACTTGACATCGCCAATGCCTTCTTACATGGCGACCTCACCGATGCCGTGTTCATGCGCCAGCCCCCCGGCTTCGTTGACCCTCAACGCCCGGACTATGTCTGCCGGCTGAAGAAATCCCTATACGGACTCAAGCAGGCCCCTAGGGCCTGGTTCCACTGTCTTCGACAAGCATTGGAAGACTACGGCTTCACAGGATCCAAAACCGACACCTCTCTCTTCATCCTCAACAAAGGTACTCTTCGTATCTATGTACTGGTGTATGTAGATGACATTCTGATCACAGGTAATCAGCCCCGCGACATCCAAGCTGTCTTCGATCACTTCCAGCAACGCTTTGCCGTTCGTGACTTAGGCAGACTATTATTCTTCCTCGGCATTCAAGCCTTGTGGACTCCGGCGGGTCTCATGCTCTCCCAACAAAAGTACATAGAAGAGATTCTTCACCGTGCCAACATGACAAATGCCAATCCAATTGCCACTCCGTCTGCTGTCTCCACCTCTACTGCCGATCCGACACCACTCAAAGATGCCTCCCTCTACCGCCAAATTGTTGGTGCACTCCAGTACCTACAATTCACACGGCCCGACATCTCTCACGCCGTGAACTATTGTGCGCAGCATATGCATCAACCACAACAAAGTCATTGGTCTGATGTTAAACGGATCTTGCGATATCTCCGTGGCACAACCTCCCATGGTCTCTTCTTCAGTCCTAACACATCTCCCGTACTGTCCGGCTACTCCGACGCAGCGTGGGCTAATAGTCCAACTGATCGCCGCTCAACAACAGGTTATGCTGTCTACCTCGGCTCCCACCTCATTTCCTGGTCCTCCCGCAAACAACGGACGGTTGCCCGCTCATCCACCGAGGCCGAATACAAAGCCCTTGCTACCCTCGCTGCAGAAATCATCTGGATACAATCTCTCCTTCATGAGATTGGCTACCCTCTACCATTGCCGCCCAAAATATGGTGTGACAATCTCGGTGCGACCTATCTCACCGCCAATCCCGTGTTCCATTCCCGTAGCAAGCACATGAAATAGACTTCCATTTCGTCCGGGAACGGGTTGCCTCTGGCCAACTTCAAGTGCGTTACATCTCCACCGACGATCAGATTGCTGACCTCCTAACCAAGCCTCTACCACGACAGCGCTTCCATCACTTCAAGTCCAAGTTGAAGGTCATCGACCATCAACTTGCGGGGGCGTGATAAGGCATAGAGCGGGTCACACGGCCTGTTCTGTTTTGCCGTTCCTCAATTGCAGCCACTCCTACTTTCAGTTCCACATCTGTAGCAACACATCCCTGTAAATCCTCCAGATAGTTAGACACAACCGATACCACACTTGTATAAGTAGAGAATGATAATGAAAGAACACTAAGTGTGAATTACCTGAGATTTCAGAACCAACATAACACCACTAGCTCCTACGCCATCCTTCTTCCCGCACATGAAATGAAAGACCCACCAATTTTCTTCCTCCAAATTCCATTCCTCATGTAGGCCACATACAAATGCACAAGGATAGAACCCTTTCAAGCAATTCTTGTCTTCATGCCATCCTTGTAAACCACCTGTAAATGCAAAGTTCCAATCCAACACCGGCACTTCCGCGTTGCCTTGACGTTCCGATTCGAAACTCAACCTAAGTCACCTTCAACTCCTTGCAGGATTAGAGTTCCATTATTAACCTCGTTTAAGCTCAAGGTTTGGCTTGCCTCTGTCACGTCTTTAAGGCCGCCAAACGTCCATGTCCCTTCACACGAACTTGAGTTGTCCTTTAAGGACCCACCCTCAAGTTCCAGGACACTATCTTCCGTACCCCCCATCGAACTGACTCCGTACAAGAGAGCACCAGTTAGGGCGCCCATGGGGGTCCGATGCAGCCGGGAACAGAACCTCGGTTCCACGCAATAGCAACCGTACTCACATCGGCAACGACAGCGGCAAACGAGGCGTCATTGCTGGCAACAACGACTTCTTCATTGGTCTCTAACGAATCAGCTAGGGCTCCAGCCTGTTGCGGTGAATTGATGGTAATTTCGGCGACGGCCACAACATCATGTTGCTTCTTTCTCTTCCTCCTATGATAGCACCGCCTCTCCCCTTTAAGGCGAATAGCAGTGCATGGTGCTGATGAGGTCGGGTCTTGTGACGTCGATGTGGTTAGGGTTCCCACAGGCGGCAGCGGTGGTGCAATGACCCTCGATGACGTCGCGGTTGCTGACATGGTGGCGGGGACGACAACATCAACGGTAGGGTAGACTTCTTCCATCTTCGACTCCAATGGCTCGGACACTTGACGAATCGACTGACCCCCTCGATTGCTGCATCCGGTGCCTTGAGACAAGTCGTCTTTATCTAGCGAACTCTCAGCAGCAACTGTAGCCTCTTCGTCGAGCTTAATGACTCCTTGCAACGTGACCCATGAACCCTTATGTTTGAAGCGCATGGTCGTCTTCTTCCAATCGAACGATATTGGACTCGCTAGCTCAAGCCATTGACTGCCGAGAACGACGTCAACTCCACGTAGTGGTAGCTCGTAAAAGTCGGCCTGAAATCGTACCCCTTGTATCTCGATTGGTACGGCTTTGTAGCATAGTTGGCACAATAGGGAATCTCCATTAATTACCTTAACTTCGAAAGACGGGATCGCCGTAGCTCACAAGAACAACCTCCCGGGAACTTCGTAACTCACAAAATTGTGCGATGATGCACTATCGACGAAGGCGGCAGCTGGTTCTTAACGGATGGTGGTGTCGAAGAGGATGATCGTCGGCTTGGAAATGCCTTTGAGAGCGCACAAGGAGATCTCTACATCGACCGGACTAGGAGGTATATCCGGCGGCTCGTCAATCTCGATCGGCGGTTCTCCATTGACTAGCTCCAAAGCTCCATCCCTCGACAACCTTCTGCGTTCGTCCAGTTGCTTCTGGATGATAGAAGACGTCTCCTCGATCTGCGGAAAGCATGCCCTATATGCGAGCATCGTCAAGCTCGGTTCCTCGGAACCAGGCACTGATGCTAATTGGCACATTATAACTTCTAATGCGTCAAGAGAACGATAATCTACTTTATTTCTACTCCTAAATTACTACGAATACTACTAAACTGGTTTATTATTCATTGACGTACTAAAACCAAAGAACAACGTACATATTTGTATAAATACTCTACAAGCCCATTCTCTCTCAAATAAGGTAAACTAATCCCAACCCAACAAGTAAACAATAACTTACTCAACTAGACATAATAAACTAATTAGAATAATCATAATAACTTAACAATTAACTAATAATAATCCTAATTACTAAGCCCACTTGACCACGAACTCGGCCACGATGGTTGGGAAAACCTCAACGAGGACGTTGAGTCCCGAGAGGGGGTGTGTGTATGTAACACTTTAGGCGAATCCCACATCGACAAAGCACGTGAGAGATCCATGGTTCATAAGTAAGAAACCAGCCTTAACTGACAAGACGCGTTTTGGGGTGAAACGGAGGAGTTCTTGTGAGAATTGCGAAGTTAAACGTGCTCAGTGTGGAGTACAACAAGGATGGGTGACGTTATGGGAAGTCACCTTGAATTGCACCCCAAGTCAAAAACCGTGAGGGTCGAGGTCCAAAGCGGACAATATCTTCGTGGGGAAAAGGTTCGGAATGTTACATGTGTCGCAGCTGTTAGGTGACGGAATCGTTGGTATAGCGTTAATGAAAGGCTACGTCACGCAAGAAGAAGGTGATGAGGACGGGTGGACTCGAGATTACGGGGAATGGGAGACATCCCTGATACGTGTGCACAGCCAAAAAGAATGTGGTAAGAATGCTATTTTTTGTATTATCATGTAGACATGACGATGGAGGGTGATGATTGGTTACATGATTGTTCTATGCATGGGCAACAAATATGGAGTGACCGTTTGGAGCATGGAAGCAACAGTGGAGTTGCTAGTGATGGAGGACTCGATTGGGTACACAAGTTGAATTGGAAGTATCGACAGCGTGAACCTTGTGGACAAGGTTGTTTGAAAAGGGAATGAATGTTACCAGAATCAAGCCATCGTAACTATTGGGTCTCGATCTGGGCTTGGTTATTTTATTATTTAGTATTTTATTTATTAATCATCATTATTAGTAGTTTCCTTGTTTAAATAGGATTTGTGTATTGTTAGTTATTTCCTTATAGGAGTAGAAGTCATGTTCTAGATATGAGAAGTTAGAGGCTTCTATGCCTATAAATATGTACTAGTTCATTGGTTTAATGCCATGTTGAAGATTGGAATTCATTAGTAGTCGTAGTTATCTTCATTCCTCTGAATATACTCTTCGTTCTAACTCACTTACGAATATCTTTCAACATCGACGACAGACGTTACGTGAAGGTTCTTCCCGGAGAAATACATCTTACCAATTGTTACGTGAAGGTTCTCACCAGAGAAATACACGTAACAATTTGAGTATTTAATCGAAACCATTATGAATTTGGGGAGGAACCCATGTTTGTTCAAGAAATTTATAGGTACCAAATTCAGGGGGTCAACATATTTGGAGTTTATAATTAGGGGTGTTCAAATGGGTTACCATGGTAATAACCAAACCAAATAAGAATAAATTTCATTAACCATAGAATACAATACCATAACAAAACTCACCAAACTAATATAAAAACCAAATTAACCAAAATAAAATTTATTCGGTATGATTAATTGGTTAACCAATATAGCATAACATTAACATTACGTAAGAAAAAATCTCCTTATAATGCATCAACTTGTAATTTATATAATGAATAAAACATAAAAATTAACACAGTTAATCCATGACATAAATAAAAGTAAATAATACAATTATCTTATAGTCATTAGAAGTAGCCACCAAACAAAAATATATGACAATGGTCATAGTCTCTTAGCAATAATTGGAGGCTGAAAAAGCTCTTTTTTCATGTTTTCATCCATCATGATATTTGAGCTTTATCTAAATGAGTGATAAACCGTTATTTGTACATGTTATTTCTCACTAATCTTAAATTGTTTGAGAGTTGATTCTCGCATTTTAAGCCGATTTCATGCTAGGTTGTGCTTTTATGTTATATTTCAGGACCTAGAGCGGAAAGGAAGGATTGGAGGAGAGTTTCGGGACAAAAACACCGAGGAAACGGAAGGAGGAGTGCAAGGACCAAAATTCCCGGTCTAGTCATCCAAAACCCGGCTGGGGAAATAGTTTAGAGACTGGGGAAATGCTTCAGCGATTTTACCCTGTCTGGACCCCCAGTTCCCCGACCGGGTAATTCCAGATGGAGACCGGGTTTTACCCAATCAGGTGAGCGTCGTTTTGACATTACCCGACCGGTTTGCTTAAAACCCGACCGGGTAATTGGACAGGGTTTTGGAGGAAAACTGTTTGAAGGAAATTCTGGGTTCTTTTCCCATTATTGAAGCTTGAGAGAAAGAATGTGAAAACCTAGAGGGAGAAAGCGACGAACTAACACTACAGGAAAACTAGTTTTCAGTCACGTGATCTTATTCACGGGAAATTTTCCCGTATTAGAAAGTAGGCTAATAGATACGGGAAAATTCCCGTAATTGATTATATAGTTCTAATCACGGTAATAATTTTATTCATATCTTTGTCTTCATTTCCCATGATTAATTGTTAGTCATGATTAATTACCGTGAACAGTGTGACCAGGGGCGGAGGGAGAATGTTAGTGGGTGGGTCCTGGGAAATAAAATGTATTTAAATGAGTGTGGTTGACCTTTCACATATTTGATGTATGATTTATAACTTGTGTATTGACATATTCAATGTTCTTATAACGAGTTATGTACAAATGACAATGATGCATATGATCCGCCTAAAATTAAGGATGTATTGTTTGATATATTGAACAACTCGAGTTGGTTTTCGTTAGCGGGGAAGCGTTAGTAAATACTAAATAGTATAAGTCCATTTTTAAATCTTTTACAATAGCTCGAGTTATTGACACTAAACGTTCTTGGCGAAGAACACCATATAAAAGCAAATGTCTAACTAAATCATTGATAATTGGTTGATAGTACATACATATAAAGTAGTATTCTTAATAGTTTCAACATATATTTAATTTACCTAGATTTTTTAAATACAAAATTATTTAATGACTTATTTAAAGCGCTAACAAAACTATTTTATCGTATATATTTTTTTTATAAATGGACTCATCCTCGGCAAAATCTTTGCTACACCCTGAGTGTGACAATATATTTACAAATTTATAGGTGAAAATCAGGAAGTCTTTGTTTTTGGAAAATAAAACTTTGAATCACAAAACAATATGACTCCTTTATTGTTCTAAAAATGGAATTTTAATAAAAAAATATTTTTTCCAAATACACAACTACAGAATTAGGATAATAAAAGATTCCAAAATTACATTGGAAATTTAAGACCAAAATTTTTTCCCGCAAAGCTATTTCGCTCCCCCGCTTATTCTTCCCGCATTCATGATACTGAATTTTGGCTCCTAATATTTTGGACTCCATAATCCTAAAATTTTGCCTCTCATCTCATTCAAAATTTTTGTCTCTCCCGTAATTTCTTTAATCGAGTAAAAGTCCTCCCCCCGGCCCCCACCCCAAACTCTCTTTGTAGTTTCTTCTTAACCTAAATACAATCTATTCATCTCTCATACCCTCCTCCACCTAAGCGTAATTGTTCCCCTGGCAATCTCAATTTTGGTGATTCTCTTATGGACACCCATTCCCATGGCGATCTATTCCCCTGCCAAACTCAATCTCAATTGCCCAGAAGCTTTCTCATGGCCTATAGCTGAGGTATGTTTGTACTCGAATCTCTTTCATGCCTCTCTTTAGTGACTTCCCTTTCTCTCTTTATTTGAGCTCAACAACCATCATTGATCTCTTTGTTTTAATCGCATGCAACTAAAGGTATAAAGTAATTTAACTGAAAGGTCTTGAAGGAAGGGCATTTTGTCGGAGCGGAGGGCCGCGACCACGGGAGAGAGGAGGCCGATGACATGATGAGGATGGTAGCGGGAGAGAGAGCAGCGGTCGGCGGGGTAGAGGATGGTGGTGGCCGGCGGGATTGGGACGACATGAGGAGGATGTGGTTCTCGGCAGGAAGGGAGGAAGAGAGGAAGAAGAAGAGTTTGTTAGGGTTAGTAGTTTGTTATGAGGGGTTAGTTATTTTGTGTGGTCTAATTTTTCGTCCAAAATTGCCTTGAACCTAATCTCATCCATCATTTAAAAAAGAAGGAAAGATAATGGATCTAATTGTAGATGGGTTGTGTAAATGAAATCCTAAAAAAGGGTTGTCACCATATCTCATCACATGTTCTCTGATATTGACATGGTATCTGAAAAGGTCACAAATGTTGACAGAAGGTCGAAAGCCGCATTGAACACATGTATTAATTAGATCATTACTTAACAACCTTTATATAAGAGTTAACGCTCCATTTTAAGATATCATCTTAACTATATAATAACAATATCTTTGTGATATGATTAATATAGTTCATACTTTCATCACCAATTGAGTTTTTATTTCGTTCACTTTTCTTAAGAGTTTCATTCGAAATTGCTATTAATGGGACTGAGTTAGCGTGACAATCAATTAAAATGTTGTCACAATGACAACCTAACTCTACACCATCTATTTTTCTTTTCCCCTCACATTTTAAACTGACGGTCAAGATTGCTTTTAGGGTAGTTTTAGACATAAAATATTTACCGCATTTGATTCCTAACCCATTCCATAATGACATTCCATCTCCCTCTCTCTTTCAACCCTAACAACTCTATATTCTCTCAAAACTTCCCTTCCGCCATAGCCACCACCATTACTTCTCTAACCCTACTCCTTCCTTCTCATTATTCAGGCGTTGCAGCTCTTTCCGTTCTTGATTCCTTTCCGCTTCTCTTGCCATTGCACTGTTGGCCGAATTCCAAAACCCTCAATCTGACTCTGGTTTGATCATTTGAAGCGACGCGATGAGGGTTTCACTGGTTATATTTCGAATTAATTTATGTTCATGCATAAAACTTATATTTCATCCATTAATTAATTAATTGCTTTCTCATACAATCTCATTCATATCCTCAACTTATTAATTGTTTTCTCATACAATTTTATTGATATCATCAATCAATCCATTTTATTCATAGATTCATCAACTAATCTACCAATCCATAGAACCAATTCATTTATCATATTTATTAATGAACCACTTTTTTAGCTTTTGGGAGTTACTATTGATCGCCCTAAAATTTTGAATTTTGTCGCCCTAAATTAAAAATAGACACATTTGTCCCTGACCCCAATTTCTAACACAAGCCTCATTCATTTCACCGTCCTTGTCCTCCAAGCACAACCCAAATGCACAAAAAATGATGATGCCAAAATTTCTTCTGTTGACGACAGTTTCCTCCACTATAAAACTGGATGAATAATCCCGTCGGATCAAGCGAAAAACAACCCGTCGACAGCCGATGGATTCCGCTCGCCGCCGATGGGATTTCAACCCCCTTCCCTCGTGCAACAAACGTAAACCCTGCCTGTTCCAGCGGTGGAGTTACGATGATGACGCCGAGCTTTGAGGGACGACGACGAGATGCGGCGACCTTCTTCCTCGACAACGACGACGCGACTTTGAGGAGGGACTACGGCGAGCATGGAGGGACCTTCTTCCTCAGCGGTGACGACAAGCAACAACACAACTTCTTCTTCCTTCTTGACTCGGCGGTGATTGATCACGCAGAGGGCGGTGGAGCTCCGACGGAGCTGGGTGGAGTTGCAAGGTGGCGGGTGTTTTTGTGTTTGTAGGGCGTCAGACTGTTTTTGGGAAAGTAAAGAGAGTTGGGCGGAGGGTTTAAGTTAAGTTGGGTAAAATAGTCTATTCGAATAAGTTTAGGGCGATAAATTCAAACAGTTAGGACATCAAATAGAAGTTCAGCTTTTTTATTGCGCATGTGATATGGAATCAGATATGCCAAATATGATATTTCTCGGTTATATGTTAACCATATTAATGGAATTGGGACCATTTTTAGTTTTTCAAAATATCAAGTAGCGAAAAGAATGAAAATGGGTCATGCAATCTTAAAGATGCAAATGGGTTATTTCACTAAAAAAAGTAGGTCTATACCAAGGGTTTATTTAATCTATACCAAGGGTTTCAACCCTTGCTAGAAGCATTAGCAAGGGTCTACTCAACCCTTGTTACAAACCTTGGCAATGCGTGTAGTAAGGGTTTTCTACAATCCTTGGTGGAAGTCTCTTGTAGCGGTTTGTCGCAACAGTGTCAACCTCCGCTAAATGTAGCAAGGGTCAGAACCCTTGTTACAGGTCAATAAAATTAAAATGTATTAGCGTCGGTGTTTCGTCACTAAAGAACCATCGGTAAAATGCAGTACTCATCTAGCTAGGGTTAAAACCCTTGCTACGCGTAATTTTTAAAAAAAAAATAGAATGTTGATTTCCTTGCTGGACAATTGTCCCTACCGGTGACCTAACACATCCTAATTGTCTAGTATAAAAAACAAATATTAAAAAAACCCCACAAATACGTCAATCTTATGCACATCCAAATTACAACAAAAGTACATCAATCCACCAAAAAATTCTATGATTTATAATATTAAGACAACATCGTTCATTCTTATAAATTCAAAATATATTCTAAACATACAAATTACAAACCTTGGCAATGCGTGTAGTAAGTGTTTTCTACGATCCTTGGTGGAAGTCTCTTGTAGCGGTTTGTGGCAACAGTTTCAACTTCCGCTAAATGTAGCAAGGGTTAGAACCCTTGTTACAGGTCAATAAAATTAAAATGTATTAGTGTCGGTATTTCATCACTAAAGAACCATCGCTAAAATGTAGTACTCATCTAGCTAGGGTTAAAACCCTTGTACACGTAATTTAAAAAAAAATAGAATGTTGATTTCCTTGCTGGACAATTGTCCCTACCGGTGACCTAACACATCCTAATTGTCTAGTATCAACAACATATATTAAAAAACCCCCCACAAATACACCAATCTTATGCACATCCAAATTACAACAAAAGTACATCAATCCACCAAAAAATTCTATGATTTATAATATTAAGACAACATCGTTCATTCTTAAAAATTCAAAATATATTCTAAACATAAAATATCTCTAGTGGCTGGAAATACCATACATTACCTTAATGAAATTTTCATCATCAGAATTCAGATGTACCAACATAGGTAGCATTTGTAACGGGATGATTCCATAATGAATGAGAGCAAGGCTAACCTTGGGCATTCCTTGATGAGCACCAAGTCCAGACACCCATCTGAGAACTGCAAAACAAGAAAAGGGGTTAACATAATTTTTTTGTTATGCAGATATGTGGAATTACGGAACAGATTTTTTTGTTATGCGCATATATGGAATTATGGATCAACAGCAGAGAATTAAGAAACATGAGTTCAACTAAGACTAAATAGAGTTTGAAAAAAAAAGAGATCATTGGATTCAAAGTCTCAACAAAGTGCTAGCTGGACCTAGCGAATTGCAATAGAATAGCCACTCTGTCCAATGTGTGCCAAATGGCCTCGCCGTGTCATCAAAATTGTCCAACAAGCACTCCACACTCACCACCTCGATGGCAACCGATACCCAACACTTTCCTACTCAGCCCAACCTGAATCCCAACTTGCAAGTGAGTGCAAGCTCCAACCCTTTTCTCAAATCGAAAAGGATAGAGTCGGGTGGATGCATTAGGTGTTGGATTGTTTTTGTGATTTTAGTGACCTGGCAATTAGCAAGCCTGTTTTCATTAATAAGATTAAATGTATTATTTTGCCCAAATTACATTAGAGTTGGGTGGATTTATCGGGGGTGGAGTCAAAATTCTTCAACATTGAGCTATGATTGTCAGCAAACGACTAGAGAGAGCAGGAGAACAAATAATAGTCTTGAGGGACAAAGTATATGTTTCGTTGGCGAAACTCGCGTGTTCAATGCGCTCTGATTTCAAGGAAACAAAAACACACAGTCAGCAAAACCGTCAAATATCCGTCGCCGAATGTCGGCGCCGTTGATTTGATCGATTATACAGAAATCAAGACCGACCGTCAAATATCCACCACCGATGTCGGCGATGTTGATTTGATCGATACACCTTTGACCTCCAATCAAACAACCGTTATTCGGTTCACCACCTCTCCAAACTACGTTCGAACGAGGGTGTTCGGCGAATAACCATAAAATCGAACCAGGAGTTCTAAGTTACGTTACCTCTACTCCTATGGAGGTTCCTCTGGAGAGCTCCGCAACTACGACTACGACTACTACGACTCTGCAAAGGAGGTCTTTGACAGAGAAGTTCTACGAACTAGAGAGAAAAAGATAAATCTGCGTAGGTGCAGTTTGTGATTTGATTTTGCCCCTCTCAGCTTCTCTCTCTTCCTGATGTTTATACTGCAATCTTTTGCCCGTAGTCGTGGTAACTGCCTTCGCGCCTTTGTCTCCCACGTCTTCATTCCTGTCAACCGTGCAGGTAACTTCCTCATTGTTGCGTGATAATCACGTGCCCTTGAAACCGCTCTTGCTTTGCAGAAACTTGGCGAAACGACATCGCCTTTCACCAACCGATGCTGTTTTATAATCCAACTCAACTGCCCCGACCCGGTTTAACCAACGACATTGTCAGTCCATCAAACAACGTCGTTCTATACTCTTGCGCCGTCGTTGGGCTTGGCGGGCTACCTTTGGCCGAACTCTTACCACTACCGCAATGTCGTTCTACTTTTCCGCGACATCGCTTTTCATTAAACGACGCCGTCTAAAATAATCATAAAATCAACTCGCCCGTCAAACTTTCACCCCTCGGCGTCGTTCCTAGTTAAACAACATCGTTTCCTGGTCCCGCGATGTTGTTGAACTTTTGAGCTTCGCGACACTGTTTTAATTTTAAACACTGTCGTTTTAACTGTTGCGGCATCGTTTCGCCTACTCGCGGCACTGCTTTGTAATCCGCGGTGTCGTTTCTTTCTCTTGCGGCATCGTTTTCCACTAAACGACACCGTCCCAAACAGTCATTAAAATATTAATTGATCAATTCGGCCATCACAAATCAAATACGCGTGTTGACCAACGACATCATTAGCGCCAAAACGGCCCCGTTTGTTGTTCCTTTCGCGACATTGTTTGTTATTTTAAACACTGTCGTTTGCTAGTACACCGTTTCCCAGTCTCGCGGTGCCGCTTGTCGCGGTGCCGTTGAGCTTTGAGGTTCGCGGCACCGTTTTATCTCTTCGCAGCATTGCTTGACTCCAAACGGTGCTGTTACTCTCCTCCTCCGACAAGGAAAAATAGAATAAAAAACATTCCTTGTCCAACAGCAACACATGTCCTGCGCATGACTCACACATGGTCTGCAACCAATGTCGTTTCAAGTACCGCGGTACCGCCGAGCCTCTTCGCGGTCTCGCTTAAATTCTCCGCGGTATTGCTTGACTCCAAACGACATCGTTTTGACCATGCGATATCGAATTAAATGCCGAAACTCATTATTACGGCATTGAATTTAGGCCAAAAATATGTTAGGTGTAAACAGTATATATACAGAGAACAAGAAATACGAGATTCGTACATAGAAATCAAAAGAGATACCTGAATAAACAAGATGGGAGCTTACTCTCCTGAGAATGAGATGAAAATGTATCTCATCATCCATATTCTAGCAACAAAACTTATTAGAATGGCAGAGAGCTTGAAAAACATAGCTATACACAAACTAGAAGCATGTACATGAACTAAAACAAACATTGAGTTGTTATTGAAGCTGCAATATAATGTCCTTCTCAACATCCATCATGCATCTCACCCTACAACAACTACAACCAAACAGAAACTATTGTAATCAAAATTCTGAGAAGTTAACAGGGATATTTATTTATCCTGGAAAACTAAAGAAGTGAGAAAAAGGGATGCCAAAAGTGATCATATAGAGAGGGAAGAAGAAACAGAATTATATATGTACTTGTTACACACTGTTCATTTAAGAGCACACTATTTCAATCATGATAAGGATTTCAGCTACATAGAGAAACAACAAGTGCATACCTTCCAATGTGCGTCATTAGCAAACTTAGGATCACATTATTCTGCCTGCTCAACCTTCTTCACCTTGGCAATGTTCAACAGTAATGGGAGCAATGCAGTTAAAAGCGCGATTCTACCTAGAAGCGGAAAAGGGGTAAAATTGTAAAGCGTTGAATCAAAGCGTAAAAGCGTAATTTTTTATGCATACTGAAAATAACTAAAAATCTGTTAAGTAAGACATATACTATGTAAAATATGAATGCACATAATTTAGATAAGTTAATAAATACATGCTATTCATGCTTAAAGTAGAGCAACTTATAGCATCTTAATAATAAGTTCGTGAACATTAATTTTAAGAAAGTCACTTTTTCCTCTATGCTAATGAATTCGGGGAGAGCGTAGCTAGTGAATTAGATTACTTAATTGGATTTAAGAATGCAGCCAAGTACCTAGTATATATCTTTTTAATATCAAATGTATCATATTGTCGGTCATTTACTTTTAAAATATACTTTTTATAATTAATTTCATGAAAAGAATACTCATTTAGTGAACTAAAAGCATAAAAAACGTAAAGCGTTGTGGTGAACTAGAAGCGTAAAAGCGTAAGCTTTTAAGCTATAAAGCACAATTTAGTCCGATTTTATACACTTAAGTTTTTATATTGAAACAAAGCGTTTTGGTGACTTAAAAACATAAAATCGTAAGTTTTTAAGTTTTAAAACGCGATTTTGACTGCATTGAATGGGAGGTCTTAATTGTTGGTCCAAAGCCCTTTGAACATTAAGCCATATCAAGGCAGATTTCCTTGTCAAAATCCTCATGGTCAATTTGAAGTCTGTCTAAGACCCCTTTACACTGGACAGCCTTGTCGCGGTCTTTGATACATGCTTCAGGCTTCATACAAAAGATAAAAAAACCACCATCAGAAACGACCAATGTGACACTTAATGAAACCTTGACCGGACCTTCCAAGTTAATTAACATACTTCCTTTGAGACTATCTGTGTACGAGAATGTTGTAGCCTCCCAAATCTATATATCATATCCAAATGAAAAATAAACCTTTTTGATACGTGTACGTTGACAGATGGTGGTTAAGACTTAATAGAAGAGTACTGGAGAACCCTTTATCGTCTTTCCAATATTCCAATCCTTATATAAATTCCATATCCTAGTCCTGATTTTCATTCGGTTTTGCTATTAATATTTTTTAAAAAGGTTTTGCTTATGTCCAACCATGCACAGGAGACGCCTTACATGACATGCATTTTTTTATCAAATCTGTAAAGCTTTATTAATCAGAAGTCGCGGCTGCATTGTCCAACATGATCTGATCAACAAGAATCATAGGAGGTCTATCTATCCATACCTCTCTCTCATTCCATCTAGTCTCTGTATGAGCCATGATATGAGCAGCCATGTTCCCTTCCCTTGGAGCGTACTGCCAAACACCATTTCCAACATCTCGAAGGAGCCTGGGTATGTTACGATATATTACACCAATCTCAGTGTATATATTCTCCGCCACCGCCAACTTATGGGTAAGTAAGAGACAATCTGTTTCGAGGATCACATTTTTCATGTGGAGCTGAGAGGCTAGTTGTACACCAAAATCTGCTGCTAAGGCTTCGGCCACTTTAGCTTCCCAATACATGACATGAATAGAACTCCTCAAAATGGTTACTATACTCCTCTCTGTATTTTTACTTTTATAAATGAGTGTGCTTGTATTTATCAAATAACAGGAGGATTCATAAAAAAATAAAGCAACTACTCTAATAAAACGAGCTACAACATGTTAATAGTAATTTACTCTAATGAAACGTTCCAATTTTTTAATGATTACCACTCATTTAGGGGGCAAGGTTTTATAAAATACCGTGACTTACTGATCCGTACCCAGGCGGAGACACGATAACGCTGGATGTTGGAAGTTTGGATGTAGAAGGCCCGGCGGGACGAGGAGCTCATTGTGTTTGTTTGGTTCAAGGAATGGAATAGATACATTCATTAGATACATGCATCTCTAAGTATTGAGATAGTTCACGTTCATGCATGGAGGTAGCTTTTATTTTAATTGTTGGGTTTTCATGGTACATGCACGTTTCATTGATGCATGAACATTATTTATATCTTGTAAGGCTATATTAAGCCTTTTTTGGAGGGAAGAAGGCATATAAGAAAATAGCATATTGCTCAAGCTTGGCAAGCACAGCATCTCAATCAGTGTTCGACGTGTTTCGAATTCTAATTTGATTGTGTTTCAATAGGTCTTGAATCACGATCATTTTTGTCGAATTATAGGTCTAATTCGGCAAACTCTTATCGAAGTTGTCGTTTAAATAACAACCAGGTCGTACCTAGTACGTTCGGATTCGTTGTTTGCGTCAATTCGTATCATTTGAATTATGGTATCAGAGCTCAAATACTATGGATTTTGATGATCCCCTGATTTCTAACAACAGCTCCGTGAAGCATTGAGCCACATCCAAGAGGAAGGAGACAAACAGTCACGACGGGGAGAAACAAAACGTCACGAGGATGAGTTCAAAGTGAATGAACTTCCTGGGTTCGTTGGAGGAAGCGAATGCTGATGATGAGAAAAGGTGTAAGTATGCCATACTTGAATTAAGCAAGGGCGCTTCCCTATGGTTTGAAGGCTTGAAGGCTCAAAGGGAACGTACTGGGAAGGATAAGATCACATCTTGGGAGTCACTAAAACATAAGTTGAGGAAGAGGTATGTGCTAACGAACCATAGACTTACCTTGTACCGTAAAATTGCTGATCTCGTGCAAGGAAAATTGAGTGTTACGGAATATATTGATGAGTTTGAGAATTTGGCCTTAATGGGTGACTTGGAGGAGCATGAGGAACAGAAGATGTCTCGTTTTTTACATGGATTAAATTGCAATATTGCTAATACGGTTGACTTATGTCCCTACGCCGGTTTCGACACACTCTGCGGACTATGTTTGAAGATTGAAGCTCAGGGTAAGGCGGCATATGGGAGTTCATCTAATGATTATGGCCGAACCAGTACATGGGTTAGCCCAAAACTTCATCAAAATAGGGAACATCTCGGAGCGTCTCGGGTGAATTTCATGGCATGTTGGTTAGTCCTACACCAAGAGCCACTCTGAAGCCACCCAACGCTACTAGAGAAACAAGTCTTTCAAAGGTGCGTTGTTTCAAACGCTTGTCCAAATAAACGGGTGGTGACTTTAAGAGACGCCATCGCTGCCCTAGATGAGTTAATTGACGAGGAGGAATGATTGGGGGACATATTTGTTTTCGATGAAGGCAATAATGAAGAAGAAGAAGTTGAGACGTTTGAAGCTCCTGTCTATGATACAAGTCTAGGTCTTTGGAATTTGCCCGCCAAGGCAAGCTCAAAAGACTAGAAACAACGTGATCAAATATTTCATACTAAATGTAAAGTTGGAGACAAATGGTGTAGCGTAATCATTGACAGTGGAATTTGTACCAATGCACCCGCAAGTGAGATGGTTTTGGAAACTGAGGTTGACTACCACAGCTCACCCAAAACCATATGCATTGAACTGGCTCGATGACGGAAGCAAAGTGAAGGTGTCAAAGAAAGTACGAAGTGGCTTGACGATGGGGTCATATCATGATGAGGTATTGTGCGATGTCATTCCTATGGATGCTTGTCTTGTCTTGTTGGGCGTCCATGGTAGTTCGATTGAGACGTGGTGCATCATGGGAAGAGTAACGAGTATGATTTGAGGTACCAGGGAAGGAAGATCGTGTTAAAACCCATGGCGCCGCAAGCTATTCGTTCGATGAATACTAGTCAATGTAAGAAGCCCAATTCACTATGATTGTTTGCTTTGAAGATCCGATTCAGAGTCACACTCCTAGGCTAGATTAACCAACCACTCCAGGAAGGATAATCAGAACCACACTACAACTCCTCTCCAACTCAGGTATTCAGCTACTGTGTCGCCCAACACACCCTTTAACAGACAATCACTCCTAATCTTGAATTAGAGCTAGTTTTCTTATCAATCGTCACTCACAAAACTCCTTTGTGCTCTAGAACGAGTTGATCTCCAGAAAAGCTGCTTCTCTTGCTCTTCTTTGTGCTTTTTGTACTTCTCCGCAGCTAGCCGTTAATCTTCAATCAAGGTAATTCTCCCTTCTTTTGAATTCCTTTCCTTATTTGCTTTGCTTGAGATGATCCTTTTGTTGTACCAAATCTGCCACCCTTGCAATTGATATTTCTTTCCAAATGCAGATTCTTATTGCCCACGACTTCCTTTTCTTCCTATTTGATCGATGACTGGCTTGCTTACAACATTCTCCCCCTAAATCAGTCAATGATCCCCTCAGTTGCATATGTAGTTCCTGCACACACTTTAACAACCAGTTACATGCAGACTGCTCTAAACACATTGAACAAACTAAATCAAAACAATTGCAGTCTTAAAGAGGGAGTTTATTTATTAGATAATCAAAAACTAACACCAAAGACATCCATACACGGGCTCAGACAGTAAGAGCTTTATTTAATAAAAAAATCAACCGACTCTAAGACTCAATCTTCTAGAATCCTACCTACTTTATTCCAAAGCAGACAAGAAACCAACTTTCCTAAGCTAACTCCCCCTAAGGATGATATTCATCCTAGAATGCATATTCTGGTGATGCGACATAATCAGAGATGGCATCTTCATCTTCTAGCATCTGATTCCTGCTGTTGCTAGCTTCCCCCTCTTGCCTGAACATGACTCGAATAGCCTCCAAGGGGTGCACCATTGGTTGTTTACCATTGTCCCTAACCATCCCAACTAAATCTACTATATCTGGTGCTTATTCAGCCTCATCCTCGCCCAGTTCTTCAAGACTGAGTCCATCCTCATGTGAAGATACTGCATGACCAGCTGCTTCTCCCCTTGGAGCATTGAGCAGAGGACAACGATGCCCTACAGATGCATGTACCTTACGAAGCACAAACTGAAAACGAAGAGAACTGAGCAGATCCACACGAGCCACTTTAAAACGAAAATCCAGACATAAGGCCAGCAAGATTTGAGTGATCTATGGGGCAAAGGGAATCTCTCCATCATAGTTGTCGTCATGATAATTCAGCATGTGATCAAACACAAGATGGGGATAACTAATGACTCGATTCTCCTTGGCACTAGCAAGAATCCACAAATCCGAAAGATAGAGTGTGGTGAGACCATGAGACCGAGGTAGAAAGAACCTAGTGATGTACAAGTGTAAGACTTTGAGATCGTCAGGAAGTCTCCCAGAGTGGAAGTCAGAGGGATAATAGCGACCAGTATCCCGAGTACACAGACGTAGAGCATCACCCTCATTGAAGTCAATAGAGTGAAAGTCAGATTCATTCATGACTTCGGCACCAGTAATGGGAATTCCAAGGAGCAGAGACAACAGCTCCACATTGATAGTTATCAGATAGTTATAAACTATCGTAGTAAAACTCGGCAGAGATATGTGAAATCAAGGTTTCATGTTCGCCTAGAACATCCTTACTGCCTACGGACGAAACCCAAAATTCCGATTAGGAAGTATATCCCCCCAGCCAATGGTATTAATCAGGAGAGGAAGATCCATCCCATACTTGTTGAACCGGGAAGGATCAAGAGTGATTGAGGGGGATAATGGGCAATCTTGGAATTTGAGAAGGTATCGGGCATACCCTGCAGCATCCTCAAATCCTTTTCCATTGAAAATGGCTGCTTGAGCCAATCGCAGGGGCGTCACATGTTGATGGGGACCAACCATGATCACTCGAAGATATGGATATATTTTAAGAGAGATAGTTTAAGCAATGAAGAGAAAGCCTCGATCCTAAAGCTTTTATAGTTGAACTCAGGATTAATAGAAGGAAAGAAGTATATGAATATGGAAGGACATGGATATGGAATGACTTGAGCCTAAAGAATAGATGTCCTATTACAGATAATAAGGGAAATCTTGAATCCTAGTTATGGAAGGTCCCGAGGTAGGGCTGAAAGATCAGTAATGTCACTTAAAGAGAAAAGACCTAACTCCCGCCTGATGTGGATAAAGGATTCAGAGCCCAAAGGCTTTGTGAATATATTAGCCCATTGAAAATTCGTAGGAACAAACTCAAGATGAATTTTTCCATCTTAAACCAGTTCTCTAATGAAATGGAAGCGAATCTCTATGTGCTTGGCTTTAGAATGTTTAACAGGGTTTTTCGACATATTTATTGCACTAGTGTTGTCACATAGCATAGGAAGAGAGCCAAATTCTAAACCATAGTCAAGAAGTTGGTATTTCATCCACAAAAACTGAGTGCAACAACAACCTGCTGCAATGTATTCTGCTTCTCCAGTTGACAAAGCAACATAGTTCTGTTTCTTGCTAAACCATGCAACCAGTTAGGATCCCATAAAGTGACATGTCCCAGAAGTACTTTTCCGATCAACTATGCACCCTGCATAGTCTGAATCAGAATAACCAACTAATTCTAAACTGGATTCACAAGAATACCAGAGTCCAAATTCCACAGCGCCAGCTAAATATCTAAAAATCAACTTGACAGCAGATAAGTGGCTCTCCTTAGGTGCACTTTGAAATCTAGCACAGACACACACACTAAAGAGAATGTCGGGTCTGCTTGCAGTCACATACAAGAGAGATCCTATTAGAACCCTATACAGTTTTTCATTAACTGAAGTGCCATACTCATCTTTATCTATTTTCAAAGAAGTAGCCATGGGGTTAACAACAGTTTTTAAGTTCCGAAAGGCAAAACGTTTCAGCATGTTTTGAATGTATTTCGACTGACATATAAAAATGCCCTTAGGAGTCTGTTTTATCTGTAATCCCAGAGAGTAATTTAACTCACCCATAAGACTCATTTCAAAGTTAGTCTTCATAAGTTTCTCAAATACTAGATACATTTCCTTACTAGTACCCCCAAAAATGATGTCATCGACATACACTTGTACCGGTAAAAGATGACCTGACTCTTGTTTAATGAAAAGAGTTTTATCAACTGAGCTCTGTGAAAACCATTCTCTAAGAGGATTGAAATCAGTTTATCATACCAAGCTCTGGGAGCTTGTTTTAAACCATACAGAGCCTTTTCTAATCTATAAACATAATTGAGATATTTTTTATCTTCAAAACCAGGTGGTTGGGCAACATACACTTCCTCTTTCAAATCTCTATTTAAAAACACACTTTTAACGTCCATTTGATAGCGTTTAATTTTTTATGCACTAGCAAAAGCACACAACATTCTAACTGCTTCAAGACGATCCACAGGGGCAAATGTTTCATCGAAATCTATTCCCTCCTCCTGATTGTAGCCTTGAGCTACCAACCTAGCCCTGTTCCTAGTTATTACCCCTACATCATCTGTTTTATTTTTATAGATCCATTTAGTTCCTATGATAACTCTGTTTTCAGGTTTGGGAACAAGTTCCCACACATTTGCTCTTTTGAACTAGTGCATTTCATCAAACATTGAAGCAGTCCAGAATTCATCTAACAGAGCTTCTTTAACTGATTTAGGTTCAAACAACGACACAAATGCAGTATGAGACGGTAGTGCCTTGGATCTAGTGATAATACATTTGTCAATTGGACCAACTATTTGTGCAGCCGGATGTCTCTTGACAATGTGTGCAGGCGGTTGAGAATGTAGTCTAGATCCATTCTCCTTGGATTAGAATTCTGGTCTAGTTGATCAGAATTCATACATTCAGATGACTTATCCTTCAGATTTTGGTTCTCAGTACTCTGATCTGTAACAGTTGTAGATGATCTCCCAAGACCAAAATGATCATCATCAGGTATATTTGTAATCTCAACAATAGTTTCATCAAATACCACATTGATGGACTCCTCAACTTTGAGGGTCCGTTTGTTAAATATTCTATAAGCCTTGCTTGAATTAGAGTACCCCAGGAACATAACTTCAGCTGACTTTGCATCGAATTTGCCTAGATTATCTTTAGTATTTAGTGCAAAACACTTGCACCCAAAAGTGCGGAAGTACCCCAAATTTGGTTTTCTTCCCTTCCATAATTCATACGGGGTTTTGTTTAATCCTGACCTGATTAAGGCTCTATTAACAACATAACATGCGGTATTAATGGCCTCAACCCAAAAAGTATTTTGGAATACCATAGTCATGTAACATGCTGCGAGCAATGTCAATTAGAGTTCTATTTTTTCTCTCAACTACTCCATTTTGCTGAGGAGTTCTTGGAGCAGAGAAATTGTGAAAAATTCCAAGCTCATTACAGAACAACTCAAAGGAATCAGAGGAGAATTCTCCTCCATGATCACTTCGAATACTATAAACTTTAGACATGTTTTCATTCTCAATTCGTTTAAGTAAGGTCTTAAAATTTTCAAAAGCTTCATCCTTTTTAGCCAAAAATAAGACCCATGTAAACCTAGAAAAATCATCAACTACCACAAAGGCATATGATTTTCCCCCATAACTTACCACATTAGTAGGCCCAAAAAAACTAAGATGTAGAAGCTCCAAAGGTCTAGATGTGGAGATGACTGATTTACTTTTGAAACTAGACCTAGTTTGTTTTCCTTTTGCACACGCATCACCGAAGAAATCTAGTTTTTCTTTCATCCTAGGCAATCCTTTGACCAGACCTAAACGAGCTAATTTGGATAAAGTACTAACATTTACATGACCTAGTCGTCTATGCCAGTCTTCTTGCAGTTTCTGTCCAAACTAATTAAGCAAGTTTCATTAATGCGGATTTTATCATTAAGATCAATAGTATAAATCTTACCATTCCTTTTCCCAGTAAACAAAATTTGTTTAGATTTAATGTTTTCGACATAACAACAATTTGGTTAAAAAATGACTCTACACTCCTTACCACACATTTGAATGATCGACATGAGATTATGTTTTAATCCACTAACTGACATAACATTTTTTATGGATGGACATGTCCCAACTTGACCTTTTCCAATTATTTCGGCAGAATTATTAACACCAAAAAATACCTTACCAAACCTTCCTAACTCAAGACTTAAAAAATCAAAGTTTGTTACCTGTCATATGATGTGAGCAACCACTATCCATGATCCACTTAGAGGTCTCCATGCTCACTTGAAGACAACTCTGCACACACATAAGTCATGTTGTTTTTCGAACCCAGACTTTCTTGGGTCTTTGTGATGAATAATTATTCCAGATGTATCTATTACTGTTAGCTAGTATATTTTTCGTAGCTTCTGAACTTAAACGTTTTTACAATCTTTTATCAAATGACCCTTCTTGTGACAGTAAAAACATTCTATGTTTTTTAGCGATTCATTGCTTACATTTGAATGACCATGTCCCCTTTCGTGAGTCAAGTACTTTTGTACTTGTTCTTTTAGACTTAAGCATTCATTCTGAAGATTTTTATTCTCATTCTGAGAGTTCACTAGGTTATTTAAAAGTTCAATTACTACTGGGTTCACTCACTTTTAGCTTATACTCTAGCTCTTCTATTCTCTTAAGATTTATTCCATTTTCTCTCTTCAATTTATTGTATTTGACCTTGACATTCCCGAATTCTAGTTGAATCTCTTTAATAGTTTGTGCTAGCATTTCATCATCACTTTCACCTTCAATTTCTCTCAGGTCATTCAAGTTAGAAACACTTACTTGAGTAGACTGGTGTATTTGAGACAACTCTTCTTCTTCCTCTATCTCATCAGCTACCGCCATAAAGGATCTAGCACTGTCACTTCGTCATCTTCACTTCCACTCCATGTGGCTTCATATGCCTTCTCGTTTGAGCAGTTGACATTTCAGCTTTGATATGCCTTGATCTTCCACATTTAAAGCATCCAGTAGACCCAATACCCTTTGAACTCTGACTGGCCTCATTTCTGCTTTTTGAAAGCACTCGAGACTGACCAAACCTTGCTACTCCTTCGTTCTGTCTACTTCTTTAGCCTTAGGTCCTCCCATCTTTTTCTCCTTCCAAATCCTGAGAAGTCGACTTGTCTGCTTGCTTAACAAAGCTAGTTCCTCATCTTCCATGTCATCCAATTCTTCAGGTTCATCAGTCACATTGATTGCTTTGAAAGCAATCCCTCTTTTACCTTTGTCACTTCTATCCTTCTCTGACCCACCTTTCATTAATTTATCCTCATGAGTGGTCAAGGATCCAATTAATTCATCAATAGCCAGCTTCTCAAGGTCCTTTGCTTCCTCAATTGCTGTAACCTTAGGAGTCCATTTTTCAGGTAGACTCCAAAGTATCTTTCTTACAAGATCTCCACTCTCATATGACTTGCCAAGATTTTCCAAACTGTTCACTATGTTTGTAAATCTCTCATACATCTGCCGAATTGTCTCCCCTTCCTCCATTTTGACCAACTTAAATTGATGTCTAAGCGAATTTATTCTAGAAATTTTGACTTTAGATGTACCTTCGTAGGTGACTTGAAGTTTGTCCCAGACTTCCTTCGCTGTCTTGCACCCAGCTACCTTATGATACTCCTCTGGACCCAAGGCACAGTACATCAGATTGGTCGCCTTACAATTTTGCTGAAATTTTTCGTAATCTTCATCGGTCCACTTCTCTTGATCTGCTTTAAGCTCGTATGGCCCTTTGATTACCTTTGACCACAACTTTGGGTCGGTTGATCCAACAAAGAACTCCATTAGATTCTTCCAGTAGCCATAGTTGACAAGGAGGATGATTTTGCGAAAACCTGTAAGCAAGATACAGCGGAGCATCGCTTGAAGAACCTGATGCCATCCTGGATTTCGCCAAAGGTTGCGGAACCTACTTTGATCAGTGACTAAGCTCTGATACCACTTGTTGCTGGCGTCGAGCACGAGGTGCCTGCTCCTTTGCTTCTCTTCGATCTCACCTGCAATAGCTCTGCCTTTTGCTAAGAACAAAGGAAGACCAAAATGTAAATGTTGACAATCGAAAAGAAAATATAGCACAACAGAAAATAAAGAATGAGTAGGCTTATAACTACTGGGCTTGTTTACTTAAGCCTAGTTCCACAATGGTTCTCGGTTAGGCCTGCTGTTACTTCATGCTTCTTTTCCACACAACGACACGTTTTAATCCCAATCAGCCTGTTCTAACTTTCACCCCCTGCAGATTCAATTCCCCTGTTCTTCAACAACACTAAGCACACCAGAAACAGAGTGAGAACTAAAGGCAGGAAGGTAATGAACTAAATAGACACAAGCACTTTAACGTGGTTTCCAGAGCTGGGTGAAAATGTATCCCAGCTCTGACTACTCCACAGACGAGAGATCACTGATTTGTGATTCTCACCAATTCACTATGATTGTTTGCTTTGAAACTCCGATTCAAAGTCACACTCCTAGGCTAGATTAACCAACCACTCCTGGAAGGATAATCAGAACCACACTACAACTCCTCTCCAACTCAGCTATCCAGCTACTGTGTCTTCCAACACATCCTCTAACACACAATCACTTCTGATCTTGAATTAGAGCTACTTTTCTTATCAATCGTCACTCACAAAACTCCTTTGTGCTCTAGAACGAGTTGAACTCCAGAAAAGCTGCTTCTCTTGCTCTTCTTTGTGCTTTTTGTACTTCTCCATAGCTAGCCGTTAATCTTCAAGCAAGGTAATTCTCCCTTCTTTTGAATTCCTTTCCTTATGTGCTTTGCTTGAGATGATCCTTTTGATGACTGGCTTCCTCTGTGATCGATGACTGGCTTGCTTACAACAGGCGCCCCATCTCTTTCATGAAAAGGCTTTAACTTTTTTCCCCTTAATCTTTAACAGACGATTTCTCACTCGTTTTAAGATGAATTTTTTTTTTTGCACAATTAGATAAGATTAATTGTGCTCTTCAAAATGATCACTTTGATATATTTTTGGAACAAAAAAATTGAGTCATTTTTTACCATTCTATATCATATTGTATTGACTGGTATTGAAATAAGAGCATATCATATGGTATGAAAAGCGTACCATGGTGGTACGAACATACCAAGACTGCAGGATGGTTGAATACATGATAGTAAGAGTACACTAACTGTGATTTACAACTTTCAACATTGTTTACTACAAGATACCACCCCGTACCAGGGTGTGGTATTGTGTGGTACTTTTTGGTCTCGTATTTTATTCACTCAGAAATTTGTAGATCTAATAGATCATGATGAACTCGTTCCTTCTGTGCAAAAAATTTTATAAACGACTTCAAAACGAAAAAGATACCATATGGTATGCAGTTGGCAAGGTGAGGCAAAAAAAAAAAAATTCTCCAAAAATATTGAAAATGAACCTCATTTTGTACTTTGTAGAGCACAACAAACTAGTTCCGTCTGTGCAAAAAAATTGAAATCTGAATTAAAATAAAGAAGATACTAGCCGATTAAAAAAACAAGAAAAAATAAAAATGCTTTTAGTTCTCCATCCTTAAATCTGGATTTTTGAATGAATGGTCCAAATTTCGTTACTCATGATTGCATAAGAGCATAACCATAACCCATGTCATGGGTTATGCACCGTAACTTTAGCGATTTTCTTGGCCTAGAAAGCAATACAGAAGTAATAGAAATTTTCTTCCCAATTCTCTCTCTCGTGTTGCCTTTACCAAACCTATAGCCCATATCTAAATGGAAAACGAACGATTTCGGAAGTATGCCTACATGTTGGTACGTAATAAAAAATCTTGTCTCAAAACGTGAACTTCTTATTATTAATTTATTTAATTTAATTTAATATATATAAACATAAAACATAATTACTGTTTATTAACATTTACTTGTGCCCATTACCATATGGTGTGTTTGATTTGGCGCTTTGTTGCAAATATATTTCTGGGGTTTGAAATGGCCGCTTCAGCACAAAAATAAGTAATATGAATCCAACATTAAATTAAAAAGTATGACTATCAAGTGCGAGTTCGGTCGAGTAATACCCACACGAGTACAGGTTTGAGCAGGTCGACCTCGGCACAAAAATAAGTAATATGAATCCATCATTAAATTAAGAATTAAGGCTATCAAGTGTGGGTTCTGTCGGGTAATACTCACCCGAGTATAGGTTTGGACAGATCGACCTATTTTTATATATAATTTGAAGTAAAAAGTTATTTGTAACTATAGAGATAATAGGTACAGGAAAAAGGGAAAATATGATTTATGTAGAGTAAAAATAGGAGAAATATAATTAAATATTAAGATAAATCAAAGTAAAACAGGTCAAGAACGAGGTGGATAGGGGCGGTGCAGGACCCCAACACGGACCAAGTCATGTAATATTTGGCGGGACGTATTCAAATTGTCATGACTACGACCAATTTTCTTATAGCTTTAAATCTTTGTTGCAATTGTTTGACACTTTTACATCATTTTTTTCGATATTTTGAGAAATAACTAGGCTGAGATAAAAGGGGACTAGACAATATTGGATTTGGATCGAGATAGGTGTGATCCAAATAGGTAAGCACTTGTTTATTTATATCGTTTTAATTATAGATTAATATTTCTTGATAGAAATTATGGAAATTAATATTGACATAATATTCTCCCACATTTTATTTGTTCATCAAATCAAATAATATTCACATCTGTATCTTGTTTTACATAAAATCATTAACCAATATTTTCACGAAATTCCATCAATACTATCAACTGGTTTCACTAGGGCTGGCTATTTGGTCCGGGTTTTTTGGTTTTACCCAAAACCGGACCGAGACCGGACCGGGATCGGATAGTAAACAATCCAATCCAATCTTTGGGCTTAGATTTGAGGTGAAAAACCATTCGGGACCGGAACGAAAACTGGATAAAGACCGGATAAGAGAGCTCAACACCCAAAACTTAAGGGTAATTTGACGGTCACAAACCTTTGCACTTAGTACAAAACTTAACCAACTCCTCACCCTCTCAGGCCTTAGGCCACTGAAATCCCCACAAGCTCAATATAAATCAAGACCGAATTGGGACCGGACCGGGTCAAAACCACCGGATCAAGACCGGATTGTATCCAATCCAATCTTTGGTCATTATATTTTCAAAAAGGCCGGACTGGACCGAATCAATTTGGGCCAATTTAACCGGACCGGACCGTATAGCCACCCCTAGGTTTCACTACTCCACCAATCATGTTTTATGAGATGTTCGGTATAAAATACAATTCTCCATAACTATAAACATAAAATTGAGCCACATAAATTTAATTTTTGCACAAATTGTGACATATACAGGTTTTCTATTTATTAGAATTCATTCTCGATAAGCGACGTTTTTCATATTTTCCAAATTTACCACTTAAATACAATTTTCACATCGTAACTCTATAAAACTAAATCAACAAGCATGCTCAACCAAATACTAAAATGAACAAGTCAAATGATCAAAATAAAGAGGAACATGTCATCCCGTAATAATAAAAAAGCAACATTAAAAAAGTGGACTGTAGTGTCTATCGAAATAACTAACTTCTGGTACAGCAATAGCCCAACATCAGCTTTAATTCGGTAGACAAAGAATTGATCAAATATATATTGGTCCTTTAATGATGGTTGTTATATGTCTAGTTACCCTCATGCGAAATTATGTCTACGCGAGCCATAGACATATTTTTGGTTGGCCATCTCTAATCTTCCAGCAACACAAGACCAGGTGGGCAACATCAACAGGAAGCTTCAGGTGTAAAACGAATAAACGAATATCTTGTGGTCCAAATCTCTTAGTCACTTCAAACCTTGGGATATCCTTGAGACAATATTTGTCATCTTCCCACTTCGGACTATTTCGGTAAGTGTTCGTTCATGTTGGTTAAGAAATGAATGGTGCAGGACCCTTTGTCGTCCTTTTCAGATCCCAATTCTAGCTTGTACACCACAAAAGGCCGGTGGACTGCTGCTGATAAACAAAAATTAAAACAAAAACTTGGGCCGAACTCTATATAAAGCTCGCCACTAACCACCAGAACTGATAGAGCTAAGAGCTTATAATCACATTTCTTTTACTTGGAAAGATCATAAGTAACAGCTGCGACTAACATAGCATACATTTTCGTACAACGATAATATATATTTTCACCACAATGGTTTTCGGTCTACATACCCTCTCCCTGAACCGTGTTGCTGCCCTCCACCAGCTTCCTTCAATATCATCACCCAATAGCCACAGGGTAATAAATCGCCGGCTTAGCATGGTGGTCCGCAGTACTACGGCGGACCACAGACGGTCGGCCAATTACAAGCCAACAACATGGAGTTACGAGTTTCTCCAGTCCATCAAGGTCAATGACATCAACGAGGTAAGTTCAACAAATTTCGAAATTGTCTTTTTTTTTTTTTTTATGTAGTTGAAGCATGATGATCAGATACTAAAAGTTCATGGGGGATATTCCTGCAGTGATGTTAGAGAGGGAGGTCAGAATGGTTCTGGAGAGTTACATAATGGAGGAGCAAAATGGTTACTTCACGAGGTTGCTCTTGGTTTCAGAGTTCTTAGACAAAATGGTTACTTCGTCTCGCAAGGTATTGATTTGTTTTTGGAGTTCTCTAAGATTCAATTCTAGTTTTGGAGGGCTGAAAGGGAGGCTTTATGCATATGTACAGATGTGTTCAAGGATTTGGTGAGTGACAAGAATAATGAAGCCCTCTTGAAGGGATGCGGCCATGAGGATGTGAGAGGCATGCTGAGTCTGTACGAAGCTTCATATCTTGCCTACCAGGGTGAAGGCATTTTGGACAAGGCGAGGGAACATGCGACTGAACGTCTCAACAGCTTCCTAATGGAAATCAGCTCGAGTAATGGCGAAGAAAACATGGAAGAACTGGTTCGTCATTCTTTGGAGGTTCCGTTGCATAGGAGAATGGTGATGCTAGAAGCAAGATGGTACGTTGAAGCATATGAGAAGAAAGAAAGAGCAAACATGGCGTTGCTTGAACTAGCCAAGCTAGAGTTCAACATGGCTCAATCAGTACTCCAAGGTGACCTTAAGGTCACATCAAGGTAATTAATTTTCTTGAATTAAGTATGTCTATCTGAATAACAAAATTCTGCTAGGTCAACTTTTATTCGGTAGACAAAGAAACACTCAAATATAACCCGCTTCATTGATTATATTGTTTCCAAGAGGATGATCAAATATAGCTCCGTTTTTTAATGATAGTTGTTATGTATCTAGTTACCCGCATCCAAATTTATCACATGGATGTGATGATAGTGGTTCTTAATGACAATGGCTTAATACTTTTATTTGAAGGTGGTGGAACAATTTGGGGTTAGCTAAAGAGCTTAGTTTCAGTAGAGACAGATTGGTGGAATGCTTTTTTTGGACTGTCGGAATGATGTTCGAGCCTCGGTTTAGCTCATGTCGCAAGGTTTTAACACAAGTTACTTCGTTTATCACCATAATCGATGACATCTACGATGTTCATGGCACTATGAATGAGTTGGAATTATTCACTGATGCTGTAGAAAGGTATTTTTTCTTATAAGTACATTCCAAACATATATTTTTCCATCAATAGAATATACTCTTTTTACTACTTGACCATAGAACCTTAGAAGTTAACGAGTTGACTGTCATCTTATTTTCAATTTGTTTTTAGGTGGGACATCAATGTTGTATCAAGCATGCCGAAGTACATGAAGTTATGTTTCTTAGCTTTCTATAACACCATAAACGAGATGGGTTATGAAACTCTCAAGAAGTATGGACACAACATCATCCCTTACCTCACTAAAGCAGTAAGTCCCCCCCCAATTTAAGTGAACGGCTATTTGCCGCCAAGCAAATTGCTATTTGCCGCCAACAAAAAAAAAAAAAAATTTGAATTCAAATTTTGAATTTTCCCTCCCTTCCCTTCCTTTCATTCTATAAATTCGGATACCCATGAACATTTGACTCATTCCAACAAAAACTTCTGTTGACGAGCCCAGTGCCTCCGTCGCCGGCACCGTTCTTCCATCGTCGGCTAACCTCCCGTCGCCCTCAATCGTCGGAAAACAAGTAAGTTTATTTTTTCCGGCCAGTTTTCCGGCAAGTTTTCCAGTTTTCCGGCGAAAAACAGGGAGGGCCGAAAAAATTTTGCGGCCGGAGCGTCGGCCGGCCGAAAAAAATTTTCGGCCGGTGCGACGGCCGGCCGAAAAATTCTTTCGGTCCGGCGACGCCGCGGCCGCAAATTTTTTTCGGCCGGTCGCCGACCTCGCCGCCCAAAAAATTTCCGGCGGCGTGTTCGTCGGCCGGCCGAAAAAAATTTGCGGCCGCTGCGTCGCCGGGCCGAAAGAAATTTTCGGCCGGCCGTCGCACCGGCCGAAAAATTCTTTCGGCCCGGCGACGCCACGGCCGCAAATTTTTTTCGGCCGGCCGACGCTCCGGCCGCAAATTTTTTTCGGCCCGGCGGCGCACCGGCCGCAAAATTCTTTCGGCCCGGCCAGTTTTTGTATTTAATTTAATTTAATACGATAATTAATTAATAAATAAATAAATACTTAATTGGTCAGTAGAAATTAGCAATTAGTGTTAATATTTATTTCAGTTGGTTTATAAATGTTTTTTTTTTGTAATAGGCGTTTGAATGTTTAATTACTTAGATTAGTTAATGGAATTTTAATTAATTAAGAATTGATTTAACAATTAATGTTAATATTCAGTACATTAATTAATAGAAATTTAATTTAATTTCTTTCGGCCGGGCCAGTTTTTGTATTTAATTTAATTTAATACGATAATTAATTAATAAATAAATAAATACTTAATTGGTTAATAGAAATTAGCAATTAGTGTTAATATTTATTTCAGTTGGTTTATAAATGTTTTTTTTTTTTTTTTTGTAAAAATGTTGTTGGATTTCTTGGACAATCGTCGATCTCATGAGCAGATAGTGACTATCATCCCCATAAATACAATGAGAAAGTGCCCTAAAACCACAATGGCCATCTGGACTAGGGTTGAAATCGCCTACCAGCAAAGGTCGAACAAACTCTGGAAAAAGCTCATCGATGTAAGGGTAAGAATATTGCCCTGGGGGGGCTCTGGGATGAGTAATCTACAAAAATATACCAAACGGTCAAAATTACATGGAAAAAATTTACAAACATAAACCAATTACTACTAGATATTAAACCAATTACTCACATGTATCATGCTCGTCGGATTCACCTCCACTCGATCGGGATCTGCCTCCACTCGATCGAGATCTGCCTCCACTCGATCGGGATCTGCCTCCACTCGATCGGGATCTGCCTCCACTCGATCGCCCCCTACCTCCACTCGAACCAGGCCCAGTACTCCTCGAACGAGACCGCTCATAATATGAACGAATGCGACTGGTGCTTGTTCTAGGGCGTCCTCTCGGATTCTCATTCACTTCCGGTTCCCTCACATTGTCCTCTGCTGGATGAAGCCCATAGAATAGGGCATCTCTTGCTTGTCTCACTGCTTCAGGACCTCTTTCTTCCACCTCAACAGTAAGACGCCTAAAGTGTTCTCGTTGAAGCTCAATTTCATCACTGACTTGTTGTTGACGTGGGGGGTTTTTATAATCCAAAGTCCGCCAAAATACATGCAACTCTTGAGCATAGAATTGACGTCCTTCTTCCTTAGCTTGAACAATCTGGCAAGCACACTTGAGCCCATGTGTCATCTGAAAATGACACGCACAACTGTCCTTCAACTCCGCCGCCCCATCTAACATCAGTTTGATTGCCTCAGAACTAACGACCCTCCTCAAAAACGTGCACGGAGCCTCAATTGCCCTACTCATATTGCGGTTCAGTGACTTGTGCAGTTCATTCACCACTTCCAGAAACTGATGTTCCATGTAGTTGTGGTTCTTCGCAAAACAAGTGTCGATCGCTCCTCTACCAGACACAAGGAAAGTCTTGAATGAAGAGTGAGATGACTCAACTCTATTCGAGCTCGTGTTACCAAGATGAAACACATGGTTCGTGTAGCACATTGCCCACATTGTCTGATGAGGCAACCACTCACCTCGCACGTAGTCGACCATTTTTTTGTTCTTCACTGTCCAGACCCTCTCAAACTCATTAATCTTTTGAAGAAAACCCTCCTGAGTCCAACTCCATGCAGCTTTGTCGAAATATTTCTTCCATACCGCATGTGCTACCTCTCTTTTTGAAATTCCACCAAGTAACACTTCAAACTTTTGCTTCACACAATTGTTGACGTGCCATAAACATAGTAGGTGGACAGTATGTGGGAGAGGGAAGACCACAGGAATAGAAGCAAGCAAACCACCTTCTTTGTCTGTCACAATGACATTCGGAACCGTATCACCGAGCAACCCTTTAATACATCGCAGCAGCCACTCATATGTTTCCTTTGTTTCCTGCTTAATAATTGCACATGCAATGTTGAAATTCTTCTTCACTGGAGTAACCCCAATAATCTCAACCCATGGCCAGCCGTACCTGTTGGTCTTGTAGGTCGAGTCAATGAGGATGACGTACGGCCATGCATGCAACATCTGAATGGACGTCGGGTGCGCAAAAAACAGATTAGTGAGCACATTATTAGAGTCCTTTTGCAAACAGATATGGTACCCACGATGTTCAGCTCCGTGAAGCGCAAACTGTATCGGATCCATTTCACCCATCTCATCCAATCTTGTCTTGGAATTTATGTTGTACATATGTTTGATATCATGATGCACACCCCCTTCAGTATTGAGTGTCGTCTTCTGCTGATTTGGTCTCACCCCCGCCTTCCTCATTAATCTTAACCTCTCTTTTTCAGCCTCACTAAACTGTTTGTTGTGTCGATGATGTTCTGGATACAACACCTTTTCATGGTTGTGAAACCCTCTATTAGCTCCGGTTTCACGACTTGTCACTCCCACCATGACCCATGTGTTTGGACCATCCTTTTGCCATACTTCCTTTATACATATCTGAAACTGGCAACCAGTACCCTTCGAACTAATATTCTCACGCGTCTCCTTCGTAGGGTCTGGTTTATAAGACTTAACGATCCTACTACTTCTGTCGCAATACATACAGAGGGCAGTAACAGGATTCTGTCCAGCAGTATTCGGTTTCCATGATCCTCTAACAATAAAGAACCCACACTGCTGAGCGATTGTTCTTGCAGCTAACTCAGCTAACTCCACACTTGCATAATGGATCCCATTCTCAAATTCATGTGTGTAATCATGATCGGCCGGTAACAACTCTGACATTTTTCCTACAATTACAATATAATATATCAATATTCCTGTGAACCTAAACGCTAATTTCAATTCTTAACCGCTAAATTCAACTCCTAAACTCTAAATTCAATTCTTACACGCTAAATTCAACTCCTAAACTCTAAATTCAACTCCTAAACTCTAAATTCAACTCCTAAAATCGAATTTTTCCGAAAAATTGCAAAAACAGACTGTGAGCCGAAAATTTCCGGTGGCCGAAACCTGGCCGGGCCGAAAATTTCCAGTGGCCGGAACCTGGCCGGGCCGAAAATTTCCGGCGGCCGGAACCTGGCCGGGCCGAAAATATCTTGCGGCTCAGCCTGGTTCCGGCCGCCGGAATTTTTCGGCTCGGCCAGGTTCCGACCACCGGAAATTTTCGGCCCGGCCAGGTTCCGGCCGCCGTAAATTTTCGGCCCACCGTCTGTTCGTTTCAAATCGTCGGAAAAATTGTTCGAAACTAAAAAAAAATTACGCACCTGCTTAGTGATGATTCATTGATGCGTGTACACAGTATATGTCGAGGATAGGCTTTCCCGATGATTTTCCGGCGACTTTTCCGGCGAGCGTTGAATTTTTCTGATTCAATATGTTCTCTGAAAGTTGGATATGTTGTAGATTGTGAAACTCCTTACCCTACTATGTATATATATACTTATTTTTTTTATTTTTTGGTTGGCGGCAAATAGCAATTTGGTTGGCGGCAAATAGCAAGCCCCATCTTTAATTATGCCAATCATTCAATATTCAATTAGTGAGTGCTTACGTTTTTCTATATCAATTGTTATTTTAGTGGGCTGATATGTTGAAGGCATTCCTAAAAGAAGCAAAGTGGAGCTCCAAAGAGTGCAACCCACCAACATTTTCCGAATACATGGAAAATGCATGGAAATCTGTTTCAGGAGCTGTCATTCTGATTCATACATATTGTCTTTCGTATGATGATATCAATTTCTCAAAGGAGGCACTGAGCCACTTGATGAAATCGAACGAAATTCTTCGCTGGCCATCTATCATTTTTCGTTTATGCAACGATCTAGCAACTTCATCGGTAAGCTCCTCGTGGAAAAGAATCTTGAGGCTAAAACTTATAACGCATTTCAAATCTATTGGATTTGGAATTAAAATCATTGTCTTGTTTCCATTTTGAATTTACAAAGATAATCGATTTGATCTATTGTGATTAAATATAATTGATTTTGGATGACCAGGAGGAGATGGCACGAGGTGAAACAGTGAATGCAATCTCATGCTACATGAATGAAACCGGAGTCAGCGAGGAGCATGCCAGGGAGCACATGAAATCCTTGATTGATGAAGCATGGAAGAATATGAACGAAGAGTTACTATTAATAACAAAACATGAGTATTCGTCGACAGATGAACATGTGTTTTCTAAATCATTTCTTCAATCGGTAATTAATCTTGCGAGGATCTCTCACTATACTTATCAGACCGGAGACAACCATGGTGCTCCGGATGCTGGATCCAAGAAGAGAGTCATGTCCCTTCTCATTGACCCTATCAAAAATTAAAATGTAATTAATTTTATAGTATTCTCCCTCCTCATGGAAACTATGATTACTTCCATTAAATGGGTAACATTATTTCGTACTCGGTATGAGCTACACTCCAGGAGGAACATATAGAGCATTAAATGGAATACTTAGCCAGAAAATAAGGATACTGGTTTCCAATGAATTTCATCATTTTTTGCTTTAAATATTTTTTCTTTTTATTTATTGTCACATAACTCAACTACTCATGTATTGTATTAGGGATAAATAGTCTTATCCGTTTGTGTTTAGTATTCTTTGTATCTCAATTATTCTAACTCCTTCTCCTTGTTCTATACTCTACTTCTCATGTACTCCTTGGGTTATAAATACCCATTATTGCTTAATGATAATACACATAATTCATACAAACCCTACATGGTATCAGAGCTGGTTTCTCTAGTTTAGTTTTTTTTATTTCAAGTTTCTGCGAGACTGGCGCGACGTTAAGCGTCCTTCCCCATCGGCTCTCTCGGCTTCATTGTTATCTATCCGCTAGCCTCCATGTCGGACAAAACAAGCACAGTCTTGTCCAGCGGCACTCCGTCTATTTCCACCGAGGTTGCCTTGATCACGTTCAATCCGGCGACCACTCTGCCGTTGAAGCTTATTATTTAGAACTTTCCATTTTGGTGTGCGCAGCTTATCTCCCTTCTTCCTGGGCTTGATCTTGTTGGTTACCTTGATGGCTCTGTCGCTAATCCTCATGATCGATAGTGCTACCACTCGCAATCCTGCCTATTTACGTTGGTTTCGACAGGATCAACTGCTTTTTAATGACATCTTTTCCTCTATTTCGGAAGGTGTTCTTCCCTTCGTCACCTCGTTGACAACCTCGTTTGCTGGCTGGGAGTCTCCTCATGAAGATGATGAAGCTCGTCGCCCCTCTTGAGTTATCTGCCATTTCTTTGCAAAACCGGGTCACTCAGCTCGTATGTGTTTCCAACTTTTTCCCAATAAACATTTGCAGGCAAACACCACCATCCTTCTCGTTCTCGGCCCCAGGCTTCCTCTGATGACTCCTGACTTCTTGATACTGCTGCTACTCACCATGTCACTCCTGACCTTGGCAATCTTGCTTTCTATTTGGATTATAATGGTTCCGATGAGGTTTATCTAGGCAATGGTTTATATTTGGCCATCATGCATATTGGCTCGTCTTCTTTACCTACCTCTACTTGTCACCCTTCTATTTGTGATATTCTTTGTGTTCTTGGTATTCGTAAACGACTAATTTTTGTTGCTAAACTATGTTGTACTTATCCCATCTCGTTGGAATTTTTTGCCCATTGTTTTGTTGTGAAGGATCTAAAAACGGTGGCGGCTCTACTGACAAGAAGGAGCAACGGTGATACGTATGCGCTTGGAGGGGGTTCTGGTGCCCTTTTTCTTGCTCTGCTTACTAATCATCACCCCTCGAATCTTTAGCACTGTCTCAGAGGAGGCCACACGGGCACACCCACAACTCACACGGCCGTGCAAGTGACCACTTTGGCCGTGTGAGATTGTGCGAGAGCAAACACGGCTTGCCCTGATGTTCACACGGCCGTGTGAAGGAGTGGTTTGGCCGTGCGAGTTTCGCCGAGAGCAAACACGGGCAGATGGAAATCACACACGGCCGTGCGACCCTGGCCGTGTGAGAAGCCTGAAGATCGAACTAATTGGAACGCAGCGTTTTGACTCACACGGGCAACTGGGTATGCCACACGGCCGTGTGGCCCTGCCCGTGTGAGTCGGGAATTCCTGGTTTTAACCCAATTTCGGGCTGCAAGAGAGAAAATCGGATTTTTGAGCAAAAACAGAGCCCTAGAGAGAGAAAGGACGAAGAACACATCCTAGAAGCTATCTTGGAGCTAGGTTTCATCAAATCAAGCTTGGAGATCGTCATAGGAGTGGAAATCATCATCCCAGAGCAGATTCTTCCCATAATTATGAGTATGATTGCTTTGTATCTTGTTTTCCTCTCTCTCTCTCTATGGAGTAGAACCCCTCTCTCACTTGGGGATGAAGAACCCTAGTTCTATGTGTTAGGGATTGCTTGTAATGACTTGGGATGATATTACTATTTGATTTTAATCGAATGATGCATTTTATTGAGTCAATTGAGGTCTGATCAACTTTTCCTGATTCCTGCTGCAATCTGAGATAGATAGAATCTGATTAGGTTGCTAGAGTCTCATCATTCGGTAGTAGGAGATTGGCTATATGAGAGTTAGCCAGTTTACTGCTTTGTACTGGAATCCAATTCCAGTAGTGGAGTTCTGTTCTTACTACTTCAGCTTTCTATCCCGGTGAAGACTAGTCGTCTGCCGGGTAGTTAGACTAAGAGGGCTTGGTCAGCTTAAGAGATTCCAAGCTACTGTCGGATCTTCCGCAGTCTAATCAACAGTAAATCAACCCAGGGAAATACAATTGAAACCTAACTAAGGAGCTAGGGGGACTCATTCCCGAGTGACTCTTTCCTGCTTGAGAAAACCGTATCAATTCCTGCTTTCTTTCTGCTTTTGCTTTTAAACAACAATCACTTACTTTAGTTGGCTAGATAATAGAGAATCACGGAGTAAGCAGTAGATCTAGACCCCGGGTTGATAATATAACTTGCCTGTTACTGCATTCCCGGTCTGCGATTACACTTGGTCGCAGATTGGTGTTGTGTTTTGGCGTGTCATCAACCTACCAAACAAACCTCATGAACAAGAAGATCATACGGCTAACACATCAGCCACTCAAGCACCGATGTCTAAGGTGGAGAAAGTAGAGGACCAACCTTTCAGTAGTCCCCCAAAATTACATGCCTTAGGATCACTGAGGAGACAAAGAGGAGATACTAGATGGCAAACCCAATACCTTGCGATGATGGCTCACGCCGAAGGGAGAAAGTACCCATCGGCGACACCCATGCTACTCCAGCACCACCAAAACTATAGATCACGTTTACTAAAAGGGACAATGACATAGTTCTTTGTGGATTATCGATATCCGAGAATCCTCGATGTAAAATAGATAAACCATGAGGAGCAATCGTACTCTTTCATACGCATACTCTTCAGGACATCATCATATGACTTATCATACAACATTTTATCCGAATGCACTTCATATCATATCATTCAGTAAATGACTAGCATCAAGGAATTCACAGCCCAAGTAACTATCAATCAGGCAATACCCTTTCAACAACATTTTGAATCATGACATTACATCATGTCATATCACGTCATACAACATCTTGCATTTTCCCGCCCATACGACGTCTAGACAATATTTACAAGTCAAATTTGACACATACCTAAGATACACCGAGACTCAACAATTTCCTTGATTTGGCACCTCATATCAAGCACACAACTCTATGCCACTCGTCATCGAGTTAAGCTTCCGCATATCCTCATGAATTTTATCGCCAAGACACACATGATCAAACAGGCTATACCGCCACAAGACAAAAACCATATCATGCTATACTGCCGCAAACAATATTCGTACCAGGCTATATCGCCACAAGAAAAACCCATTCTATATTGCTGAGAAACTGGAGAAACCCAAATCAGGTTATACTGCCATGGGAATAAGAAAGCACCAAATCAGGCTATACCGCCATGGATAAAACCCCCAAATCAGGCTATACCGCTACGGGAACAAGATAAAAACATTGAAGGCTATACCGCAATGCAGAACCCAAAGCAGGCTATACCGCCATACAAAAAAAATCAAAAACAGGTTATACCGCCATACAAAAAAAAAATAACGCAGGCTATACCGCCATACAAAAAGAATCTAAATCAGGCTATACTCTACCGGATCATTAAAAAACAAAACCAGGCAATATCACCACAAGACTAAAAACAAGTCAAGCTATACCGCCATTGGACCAAAAACCCAAATCAGGTTATACTGCCATGGAAAGTACTCCTAAAATGGGCTGTACTGCCATGAAACCAGAAAACTCTAGTCAGGCTATACCGGCAAGATACCTAAATAGCAACTCAGGTCCTACCGCCAAAATTCTTAATTACCAACTCAGGCCCTACATCCAAATAATCTAAATACACTAAGGCAGGGGCTATCACCAAGACACCTAAAAACACTAACGCATGCGCTACCGCCAAGAAACCCAAAAGAACTAACACAGGCCATACCGCCATGAAAAATAAAATAAACAAGTTATACTACCCCTAAATTACATTAGCTCACTTTAATTTACCAAAAGGGAATGAGCTAGATGCTCCAACCTTGTAACTATCACAATATTAACCCGTCAAAAATGGTGTGCTATGATAACTTTGTATATCTCTCAAATACCAAAAGATATACAAAGGAGGGCAACTGTAGACACCACTTTTTGTCCGGGCTATAACGTATATTTAATTATATAATTTTAGTGTTTTGTTTAAAGTTTGAAATAGCAAATCTTAAATGACATTCTAAATAAAATATATTTGTAGTGTTTGCAATGGGGTTTTTTTTTTTTTTGCCACGAGATTAAACAATAACAAATCTTGATCAATACAATTGATAGTGAGTTGAGTTGGTTTGCTTTAATTCGACGATTTAGGCAATTTAGCAGTTTTGAGTTGATCTTTGAATTGGTTCTTAAGATTTTAGAATGGGTGAGATTTGTACTTTGATTTTGAAGCAATAAAAAGAAGAGTCGAACAAAGAAAAATAAATAAGTGTCTTATTAAAATAAATTGAAATCAAATCAAACATAAATAAAAATTACAATGAAATGCTATTCCAAAATAAATTAGAATCCAAACCCGGTACTGTTGCTTTCTTGGGGAACAAGCTTCCAATTCCCTATAAAATAAACACCTTGAGTAGACTCCCTGGGGTTTTTTTTTCGGGATCTCTTGATTCTTCCACACTCCCCCTCAAACACAAGACAGACGAGAGAAAGGGAAAAATTCCCAACACCCTCTCTTCCTTTCTCTTCTTCTTCTTCTTCTTCCCTTGCAAAACATACAGAAAGAAAGAAAGAGACAAATTAGAAGAATCAGACTCGACTCCTCCGGTTTTCTTACATATAGAAAACACCAAAGCCTCCTTTCCCTTCTTCTTCCTCAATCAAGTCAATAAAAAGATTAAAATACCAATTTCTTCCTCCTCTGTCCAT